GGTCGATATATATCAGTTATTATTCTTTCTCTCCTCCTCTGGCCTCGAAGGTGCCTGGGCTTTCCCTGCCTCAGGCTTCTCTGACCCCTGTACAAAGAATTCATGAGCTTGGGAAATAAATTGCTCTTTCCTGCTCTCCTCTAGGGCTTCCTACCTCCATCACGTGCCAAAGGTTGGCCCCAGCTCCCCTTTACCTTGGGTTGGGCTGTGTCGCAACTGGCTTTACCTCAGGCCTCACAAGTCAGGGCCATTCTCTGTAGGCTTCCGCCACCTCTTCTCATACTTCCAAGTTCCGGGGGGGAACATATGGAAGGAGAAGGAGCTGGCTTTCTGAGCTAGAGCTCCAGAAAACTTCTGAAGCTTATAGGCAGGCCATTGCCCCAGTAATGCCTCTATCTTCCCCACCCCAGGCCCCAGGCAGGCAGTCTGGACTGCCCTCCAACCCCAGCATACTCTGCAGGCTGCACCTGGCTCTTCTCTCCCGGCCTCCAACCTGTGATGTTCAGCTGGCCCTACTTTTACCTGAGAGGAAATGTCTGGTGGGGGGGGGAGGGGCCAGCAGTGGAAGATAGTTTCACGCTACCCACATCCCCAGGACGGCCTCTGGCTCTCCTTTGCAGGTGGAATTGACCCTCTGGTCAGGGGCCTGCTGGCCAAGAAGCCCAAGCTGATGAATCAGAATAAAATGATAACAGAAGAGCTGCGCGGCAAGCTTTTCCAGCCCACTCACAAGATCCACGGCTTCGACCTGGCCGCCATCAACATACAGCGCTGTCGAGACCACGGGATGCCCGGTGAGTGGGCCTGAGGTCCTGCCTGGCCCAGGGAACTTTTAGCTTCTTTCTAGGGTTCCTGGGGACTCTTCCATTAACCCTAAGGATCTGACCAATTCTAAAACAGAAGGCAGAGATACCAGTTTTTAAAATTCATTTTGTTCATCTGTGAAATGGCGTCTTCCATTTTCCCTAATGTGGAGACAAGAGAACATATCTGATACCATCTTGGAGCTCCTCAAATGAAAAAGAGATCAACAACTGACTTGTAAAACCAATTTAAAATCCCAGAAAAGTCACAGACCTAGAGCAGCGATGATAAAGATAGTATATGTCTAGTGCCGATTCAGATGACTGATCAGTAGGGCCTGTGTTGAGATGAATCAGGAGAGGAGAATAGAGGGGCTCCTGGGTAGCTCAGTCGGTTCCAGCATCCAACTTGCGGTTTTGGCTGAGGTCATGATTTCATGGCTTCATGGGTTCAAGTTCCGCATTGGGCTCTATGCTGGCAGTGTGGAGCCTGCTTGGGATTCTCTCTCTCTGCCCCTCCCCCATTCATGCTCTCTCTCTCTCTCTCAAAATAAATAAACTTAAAAAAGAAAGACAGAGAGAGAGAGAGGACAATAGAGAGAAACCAATGACTATCGGACCTTTCTTTTATACCCATGAAAGGCAATTTAATGTAGTAATTAAAAGCCAAACTGCCTGGGTTCAAGTCCCAGCTGTGCCATTTCTAGTTATGTGACCTTAGGCAAGTTACTTAACATCTCTGTTCTTCAATTTACATATTTTTACGGCGCTTAGAATAGTGCCTGGACCCATAGTAAGCACCACATAACCTGCTAGCCCTCTCATGCCTGAAGTACCGCAAGTGTAAAACAATGGATCCCCGCCCACCCCGTCCCAAAGGCTAGGAGTCCAGACTTTCTGGGGCTGATGGAGCTGGGGCAGGTATGTCCCCAAGGCGGGCTGTGGTGAGAAGCTCCTGGGATGAGACAGCATCAGCCCCTCTGCCCTAGGGTACAACTCCTGGAGAAGCTTCTGTGACCTCTCACAGCCCCAGACACTCAAGGAGCTGGATGCTGTGCTGAAGAACAAGAGGCTGGCTAAAAAGTTACTGGATCTCTACGGGACCCCTGCCAACATCGACATCTGGGTTGGGGCGATTGCTGAGCCCCTGGTAAAGAGGGGCCGAGTGGGGTCTCTCCTGGCCTGCCTCCTGGGGAAGCAGTTCCAGCAGATTCGTGATGGAGACAGGCAAGTGAGACCTTATGAGGAAGGCAGGGGTGAGCAGACCCTTCTGCGATGTGGACAAGTCCTGTGTGAGGACTAGTCCAGACCTCAGAGTGTTCCCAGTGACCTCCTTCCTTCCCCTTTGGCACAGTGGGGAGGGAGGGGCCACCGCCTGAGCTGTGTGGACAGACCCTGCTTCTGTCTCTGCAGATTCTGGTGGGAGAACCCTGGGGTCTTCACTGAGAAGCAGCAGGACTCTCTACAGAAAATGTCCTTCTCACGCCTTGTTTGTGACAACACCCACATCACCAAGGTCCCACGGCACCCATTCCAGGCCAACAACTACCCTCAAGGCTTTGTGGATTGCTCAGCCATTGACAAGCTGGACCTTTCACCCTGGGCCTCAGTGGAGAATTAGGGGCCCAGATTTCCCAGCCTCCCACACTGTGCAGTTTTGCTCGCTTTGGTCCATGATGCCATTTCAGGCAAGTTCAATGACCCTGTCCCTTAGAGCTGCACACCCCATCCGGGCCCTTCTATTCAGCTGGGTTTCTTGACACTCACCAGATGCACACCTCGCTCAAACCCAAGGCCAGCACCTCTGCCTTTCCAGCTCTTCCACCTGAATCCCACTGTTTCCATGCCATCTGCTCTGTCTGTGGGATGTCACCCATCCTCTCCCTGCAGCAAGTCTTGACTGAGGCCATGGTCTTTGCACTCTTAACTTTCCTCCTCTCCTTTCAAACTAGATTGCGAGCTCCTTGAGCCAGAGACTTCTGTCTGCTTCCCAGTGTCCCCCGTGCCATCAAGCATGATGCTCAGCACACAGCAAGGGCTCAATAAACATCTGATGATTGACTGATGATGGTGGCAATGACACTGTTCCCTTCCAAAAGCAGGCTTTGGGACCACTGCCAAATAAGCAACTAGATGTTTACAGTGCAGACACGTCTTACCACGAAGATGTGTGCACGGGTCTGTGGGGCGAGAAGGCATGGTTTGGTGAAATTTCAGAGTTCTCTAAGAAAAGTGTGAGGCAAGGGGCTCCTGGGGAAAGAAGCAATGGCCGTAGATGAGGGAGAGGGTTTGAAGTGCCATCAAGGGGTCAAACAGAAAGGTTGTCCCAGCCTGGATAATCCTACAGCTAAAGTTGATTTTCCTTCCAGAAATCCTTCTGGGAAATACCTCCTTCTTCTAGGGCAGTCCTTGGAGCCTGTGAGATCTCAGAAGGGGCATGGCCAGAATGTTCCTTGTACCGCTGCCCAATACATGTTCATGTGTTCTTTTAAAATGACCCTCCGGGTAAGGTCAGCCCAGTCAGCACCTCCAGATCCCCTGACTGGTGGAGTGGATGGAGCCACCCTGTGGGAGGAGCCCAGGACCCCGAAGACTTGGCTGCAGTCCTGGCTCTGGCACCCACTTCTTCAAGCCCTTGGATGAGTCTCTTTCTTCTCTGAGCGTCCCTCTCATCATCAGTGAAATGGAGAGGAGTATTTCTCCTGCTATGGGAGGTCCTATTGTGGCCTGGGGCTCCTATGGGTACATAAGCCTCAGCATCCTGCACACCTTCAGGCTCCCAGCTGCCAGGGAAGGGAGCCAGAGGGGCAGGGGAGAATCAACCAGTCTCAGATATAGGGCTCAAGTTCCAGGCAAGGTTATTTGAGAAATACCCTCCTTCCCTTCCCTCAGCTCTGGCCCTGTCCTCCCGGGCCCAGCCATCTGATGTCCCTGCTCTTGGAAACTGGCTACATGAAGCCAGGACTGAGAGGGAGTCTACTGTCTTGAGGGCCTCTGAACCACCGTGCCAGGCTGCAGGGGTGCAGGATCCAGAGGCACCCCATCATCTGGGAAGGACCTCCTTTCCCATGACACCTCTGTTCTTTCTCTCCCGTGGGACACAGTGTTTTGTTCCTGACACAGAGTGAGCACGTAGCAAGTATTTGCCAGAGCAATAAATGAATATAAGGGCCTGGGGACCACTGTTTCTGTTCTCTGGGGTGGCATGGGTGGAAGGTGAGAGGCAGGATGGTCTGACCTGGCCCGGAGGCTTCTGAGAATTGACTGCCTTCCATGTGTGGGTCAAAGGACAGCTCCTCGATACCTCACCCCCAGTTTAGAGGCACAGACCACACTGGTTCAAACTGAGATCCCAGAGCAAGCCTCATGCTGAAGCTCCAGCCCCACAGCAGACATGGACAGAGTAAAGGTTCCCATCAGTGGTGTTTTATTATCATAGACGTCAGGTACAAACAAATGGCACAAAAGGGCCAATGCGTCCCAGTTCCTCTCCAGGTGGGCTCCTGTGAACAAGCAAGAGAACAGTGTGAGGAAGCAAACGGGGAGCCACCAACTGAGTCCTGCTCACCTGGGCCCACACCTCACCCACCACGCACACCCTAGCTGCTAATGGCCATTCCTCCAGGGGTCACTCATTCACTGTCAAGTGTAAGCTCTCCGAGGACAGAAAGTGTCTGACTTTCCCTGAATGTTTCTCAGGCCTACACAGTGCCTGTCAGTAAGTGTTTGGTAAACAACTAGAGGATGTAAGTGGGGCCACTAACGAGCCAAGACAGCTTTTATTAGCAAAGAAGAAAACTCAGGCTTAGCGAGGTCGAGTAATTTGTTCAAGTCACACAGTGGAGAGCTGCAAAGTCAGGATTTTTGCGTAAGCAATCTGGCTCCTGAGCTTGTATCCATTCTAGTATCTTCCCTATACTTAATACATAAACAGCAAACACACACTCACATAAATGACATATAGACGCAGCACACAAAACACTACCCACATTCACAGAAAACACACACATATGAAATGCAATTTATATACGTTGCATATGCATGCGCGCACACACACACGAATGAATGTCTAGTCATTCGTGTTCTTGGTCAGAACAGGGACAGGCTCACCTAGGGAAGGGAAATCCCTGTGGTCCCAGTGGGCCAGCCCAGGGACGCCCAAGCTTCACCTCACCGTCACACCCCCTTACTCAGCCTCTAGTCACTCCGCCTCCAGGGAGTCAGGTCCAATGCAGGGAGCGTATTGCAGCTGACAAAGTCCCGGGGGAACGTGTTGGACATGAAGATGTTGTCCTTGGACACGGTGGTGATGCCCGTGTTGTCACAGATGATGCGGGGCAAGGAGATCTTGGCCAGCGCCTGCTGCTGCTGCCTGGTGAACACGCCCTGGTTCTCCCACCAAAACCTGCATGGTGACACCCAGGGACATTGCACCTGAGGCTGTCCTTGGCTGGGAAGGCATCAGCGGGCTTGAGCTGCTCCCTGGATGGAAGAGGACCAGCACACACACCCGCTCCACAGCAGGAGATGGCTCCAGGCCCTCAGGCAGCCCAGGGATTTTCAAAGGAGTGGTGCCTTCCTCACAGTACAAAGCACAGCTGCCCGGCTGCCTCCCCTCGGCCTCCACCCCCCACCCCGTGGCCTCGGAGGCCCCCCAGCTACACAGGGAGCTGGGCCCACACTCACGGACCCCCGTGCCCTGGCCCAGGGCTGTGACCATGGGGGTGGAAAGAATCTTGGGGTTGGTTTATAATGTGTCCACCCAGAGAGGGACACCTTTCTCTAATCTTCCCAAGGGCACAATACAGGCTAGGTAAGAACCGGGTATGACACATGTCAGGGCCACGATGAAACGACACTAGTAGGAGAGGCTTGGAGACCGTTCAGCAGTGAGTGACTGCTGTATGGTGGCACCCTGAAACCAGGGAAGGCATCGGTAAGACTTGCAGTTTCTATGTCTCCCTTCACACCCACGGCTCCAGGCCCCTCCTTGCTGCACCCCAGCAAGTTCAGGGCGCATTCAAGGATGACCTGGAGGCCCAGAACACACTGGAAAGTCACGGATTCCTTCCTGCCCCTCACTTCACAGGAGAAAGTCGGGGCCCCGAGAGGTTGGGGAATAGGCCTGCAACCACACGGCGGGCCTGAACTGCTCGCCATGCCTCACCGGTCACCGTCTCGGAGCTTCCTGAACTGGGTCCCAATGAGGCAGGCAAGTAGCGGGCCCACGCGGCCGTTGGGCTCCAGGGGCTCGGCCACACCGCCCATCCAGATGTCAATGTTGTCGGGGGTGCCGTACTGCTGCATCAGCTTCTGGGCCAGGCCCAGGTTCTTCATCACTGTGGCCAGCTCGCCCACCGAGCTGGGCTGCGGGAGCCCACAGAAGCGCCGCCAGGCATTGTACCCTGCGGGGGCGGGGAGCGGGGGCTGTGGGTGGGTTCCCCAAAACTCACCTCCCCAACACGCCGTGGCCACGTACAGAGGGACGTGAGGGAGAGGCCACGGAGGGGCTTCTCCCAGGCTCTAAGCCCCAAGAGAACCCTGAACTGAGGGGCCAAGACTCTTCTCTTTCCCTTGCCCTCCCACTGTGAGGAAAATCCGAAACTGCCCGGAACTCCCACAGGGTCCAAGAATAGGGACATCTCATTGTCCCCCTCTGAAGATCTCAGATCTGAGGCTTGAAGTGTGTCTAGAAGGTTCAGCCACACTAGCTGTCCCATAATGTAGGCACAGGCTTTGGGGTTAGGCTGACCTGGGTTCAAATTCAAGCTCTATCCCTGATTTGGCTGGGGAAGAGCCTGGGAAGGTTCTGAAGCTCTCCAAGCCTCAGTTCGCTCATCAGTAAAATGGAAGTGATGATAACCTCTTCCCCTCAAAGTTCATGTAAAATGAAGCAAAATGAAATGTGATGTGGACAGTTTTCCAGCCAGTGGGGAAGCCTGGGCAGCTGCGGGGCACTGGAGAGGGCAGGGCTCGAGAGTCGGGGGGCAGGGGAGCTCCTGCAGCCCCCTCACCTGGGAGGCCGTGGTCCCGGCTGCGCTGCATGTTCAGGGCAGGCAGGTCCAGCCCGATCCTCATGACCTGCTCAAACAACCGGTCCCGGATCTCATCCACCACGATTTGGTTCTGGCGATTCAGCTTGGCAGGGGTGGCCATGAGGCCCCGAAGGATGGGATCAATACCACCTGGGACAAGAGGAGCAAGACTTGGGGAAGGATCTGGCTCCATATCCAGAGCTCAGACTGGACTCAGGGTTAAGTCCCAGGTGCAGTTGGGGGATCACAGAAGAGGGCTGGGCACATGCAGCTCCTGGTGCCAAGGTCACCCCAGTGGGCAGGTCTTCACCAGGGAATCAAGGTCTCAAGGTATAATGCCATTCAGACTTGCAAGTTGGGATGCACTCAGGCCCTGGTCTCCTGGGTCACCGAGAAGAAGCCAGTTCCCTACAAGCCACCCCACCCTTTGTTATTATATACAGAAGCAGTCAGGTGAACCGAGGCTGGAAAGTCAGATAGGATCCCCAAAGATGGAAGGCAGAGTACTTCTCCTGTCCTAGCTTCCTGCAGCCAAGCCCACCCCACCACATCCTCAGCTGCCAGCCCACTGTCTCCTGGCCTAGGTCCTGCTCACCTTCCAGCACTACTCTCCAGGTAGCAAAAAAGACCTTGCTGAGTGGAACGCGGGGGTTGGGCCCCATGGGCTGGTACTGGTTATCCAGGCGGAACATGAAAGGTTGGATGAGGGTGTGGCCATAGCGGAAGGCATTGGTGAAAACATTGGAGATTCGAGGGTCCACCGAGTCATTGTAGGATCTGTAGCGTGGCAGGTACTTCCTCAGGGCCTGTGGTCCCAGCACCAGGGGCAAGTAGTCCCGGTAAGTGATGATCTAAAGAAAAGTCACGCTCACAGTGGCCTCTCCACTCCACCTTCTCTACAGAGTCTCCACCTGCACTCCTGGCTTGGGGAGCCCCTCCATTGACTATGGCCAGGGTTGTCTCCCACAGCACTGGACCTGGGTCCAACAGAGTGGCTCCTGAGTGGTGGCTTATAAACAGAGCTCTACTGCTTACCTACTGTGTGACCGTGGGCCTGTTATTAACCTCTCTGAGCCACTGTTACTCAAATGTAAAGGATAATTATGCTGCCCTCTGACTTAAAGGATTAAATAACAAGGGGCTTTGTTAGTCAATAGCTCCTTTGCCCTTGAGTTATTAATGTTTTGTTTCTCCTAATTTATAAGCTCCTGAGGACAAGGGTTGTAGCTCATTTCTCTGGAAATTACTCAGTGCCCAGCAAGCACTTGGCTCACAGTAAGGTTCCATATGTTTGTGGAGGTGGGGGAGGCAAAAAAGAAAAGGGCCACCCTAGATGATTTCCTCAGTGAAAAGAGAAGATATGGAACAGTCTCACTCTTGATTCTAGAGTCTGGAATTTTCTGTGAGGCTTAAATGAATCTCACTTAAGTTCTTGGTGCAAAGCAAAAACTTACCCTCAGCACCTGCAACTCTCTCCCTCTCTGGAGTCTGAGAGTATTGAAAAGGTGTGTGCGTGCATGCACACAGGTGTGTGTGTGTGTGTGTGTGTGTGTGTGTGTGTGTTTACATCTTGGGGAGAGGATGGGGGTGTTGAAGTATCAAAAGTTGGGAGAGAGAACCAGGAACATTTTGCAGGGGTAAATAAAGGTGAGGAGATTGGGTGAGCTATGATAGAGCCAAATGAAGAGGTGAGCGGGTGAAGGAGCCAGGAGATGGCTGGGGGGGGGGTGGTGGGGGAGAAGAGGAAAAGAGAGGCATTTATTGACCAGCTGCTACATGCCAGGCACTTCAGACCCACCCCTTTAATTCTCCCAAAACCATCCCAATGGACAGGAAGGAAGAAATAGGAGCAAGCCTAGGAGAGAGAGGATGGAAGGCAAGTAACCTTCATCAGGCACTCAGTATCGCCAGGTGTTTTCATATATATCACTTAATCTTTACAGTGTCGTGGATGAATATGTTGAGGCTCAAAACACTGGCCCAAAGTCACACAGCTAGGATGTGGCAGAGGCACATCTGCATCCCAAGCCTGCCACATCCCTGGCATCATCAATACTCAGGACGGCATACCTGGACCATGGCTCCCACGATCTTGCGAGCTTCTTGGTAGAGCCTCTCTCCATCCCAGCCTGGGTTCAGGCGCTTGAGTCGTGTGGCCAGCCGGTTGTGCTCCCGCAAAAAGAGTGTGTGCATGGAGGCGAGCTCGGGCATCTCACTTGAGCGGGGGTCCCCTTGGGGAAGCAAAAGCTACTGTCATTCCTAAGACCCCATCAGAAAGGACTTGCTCCACAAAGACTCCCTCAGCCAAGATCTGAAACCCAGACTTTGTTCCATCCATCTTTCCACACCATGTTCAGTTTACATCTCCTCCAGGAGGTTCCCCCTTGATGCCCTGGTCCACCATGATAAATTCTTCCTCTGTTTAGGGGCACTGCTGCTTGGAGATGCTCATTCAATAGGCATCAGATCTGCCCCATGACTTGCCACCTTCTAATGCCTGAGACTGGGAGCTCCTTGAAGACAAAGACCATGGCTTGTCCCTTTCTGTATCTGTCCCTCCACCCAACTCACACACAGACACATGGAGTTTAACACAGTGCCTTCTACAAAGTAGGAGATCTGTAAACATTGCTTGGTTGACTTATTCTCTTGCTTCAGGCCAGACCAAAAAGTAGCATGCATGTTAGCACTCCTTACTTCCATGCCCATGTCAGACATAGCTAATGATCACAGCACTCTCTCCTGCTAAAATTGGAAGCAACCTCAGAATCCTTCTTAACACAGGACTCTAGAAAGCCACTAGCCACCTGATCAGAGTTGCCATCCTCGCCCTTACTGCATGCTAATTTGCAGCCTGCTCGGGCTCCAGAGAACGGGGTGGGGGGTAGATTTTTACAGTCCATATCTGAGACTGTTAGAAAAAAAAAAGAAAGAAAACCAAGTGAGACCCCTAATCCCTCCAGTCCTCCCCAAGCCTTCTCTGGAAGGGCCAGAGTTAGGACCAGGCCCGTTTAGCAGGACACTGGGTTCAGTCTTTATAAGTTCTAGAGGCTGGTGGGAAAGAAACTCTGGGAGCAGCTTTACCATCCCATGAGCTGCCAGAGTGCACGATGATCCAGACCCAGGACATGTGGCTCAACGCCAGGATGGAGGCAGCCATAGGTCGCTGAGGAGTGCTGCTCTTCCTTCACTAGCCCAGAAAAGTCTCACAGGAGCCGACCTGGATCCTCCTGCCCAGGACCAGTGGGGGAGAGGCCACAGGGAGCCAGCCATCAGGAGAAGTTGGGAGGCCAGAGGGAAGGGCCTCAGGACCTTTTTGGATCCACTATTGGATTTACATTAAAAAACATTGGAAGTTTCTGGGCGTGGGCACCATTATTGCTCCAACCATATTCCCAGGGCTTCCAGGTATTTAAATTTAAAATCTCGCCCTCTCTAATTACAGGGAATCAAGATGGCAGGAGGTGATATTCTGGAGCAGCACTGTCCCATAGAACTTTCTGAATTGATGAAAATGTTCTACATCTGTGCTGCCCTATATGGGAGCCACTAGCCTATGAAGTTATTGAATGCTTGAAATGTGGCTAGTACAGCAGAGGAACTGAATTTTACTTTTAAGTTAATTTAACTTAAGTTCATTTTAATTAACTTAAATGTAAATGCAAATAGCCATGTGTGGCTAGTGGCTACCATAGTGGATGATGCAGTTCTAGAGAGTGAGGGTGCCATGTCTCCTTAGTCCCCTGTCCCTGGGGACTCAACTCTCTGGCAGAGTCCAGAGGGAAAGGGAGAGATGTAGAAAGGGATGGACAGATGGAAAAGAGGCTCCTTGGCTATCCCTGGGTCTCCTTCTTAAGTTTGTTCTGTTTTTGGTTTTGTTTTTTGTTGGTTTTGGTTTGGGGGTAGGGGTTGGTCTGCTTTTTGGTTTTGGTTTTTGCTCCACCCAACTTGTTACCAAGGCAACTGGATTAGTATCATGAAGTTGATGAGGACAGAGTCACAAACAGCACCCCCGCCCCCAGCAGGGTGTGCCCATGCACCAGCCCAAGTTCCTACTGGTGGCTGACCTGCCAGGAAGCAGGGGATGCGCGCAGAGCGGTTGGTGAGGAGGCAGGGGTCATCACGCAGGTTGTCAAAGGGCAGCAGGGCCCGACCATTGTCACTGAAGCGGGTGTTGACGGCCAGCAGCCCCAGCTGGTTGGTCAGGTTTCGAAGCTTAGTGGCCAAAGAGTCCTCGCTGCCATACACCATGCTGGCGTCCACGAAAGAGGTGAGTGCATTGATCTGGTTGCGGATGGTGATGTTGCTCTCTGTGCAGGCTGGGGAGGAGCGGAAGAAGGGGATGCAGTCACGCTGGTTCCTGATGCGGGGATCATCTGGTGGGATCTGTGACACGTAGACAGGCCCCGCTCACCAAGGGCAGGGACAGAGTGGCTCTCCCCCGGTCCACCCCC